CGGAGAGGCTTCTTCTTCTCCGCCACCTCAACTTTTAATCTTTTCTCTTTATTTTTTTTTTTTTTTTTAGGCAAGAAGGAAAATTTGTTCGTGCAGTGTTTTGACACTGTAGGTTTTCCTTTTTCACTGTGCATCTTAGCGATGGCCTCGGATATCCACACGTGCGTTCAAACAGCGCAATAAAAGCGTTGTTGTGTTGCGTTTAATATTATTGTTATTATTTTTTTTTTTTTTGAATAGTACTACGGGAAAAATGAAACTCTGTTAATTTAATTTTGTAGATACTAACAAACCATACATAAATCTTACTTCTGATAATCTGAATATACACTTGGATGATGGTAAATCAGTGACTTTTACGGCTTTTGTTGATGCATGCCCAATACCAACTTTGGAGTGGTAATACGTTTAGTCCTCTACAGTGCTTTAGTGCACATAAATTTAGAGTCTTTTTTTAGTAATATTAAAAATTATTTTTTATTTCAGGACTCACCCTCGAGGTTATAAAATTCGTCCCTACTTAATGGACGTAAGAATGTCCGAGTATGGAACGATGAGCCGATTGACTCTATTAAACATCAATAAAGATGACGCGGGAACATTTTCGCTTACAGCTAAACATGATAAAATAGTAAAGGAGTTGAAATTTCATCTTGACGTTAATGGTGCATAAATAAATTAGACTCTCGCGTGACATAAATATTTTCAATGGATAAGATTAAAAATTGAAAAAGATTAGAAAGACAATTGTTTTTTACAGATTTATCATACAGTTTCGAGTATTTTTATAATATTATCAAAACTGGAAGTAGTCTGTAAGCAGTGGTAAAATTGTTATTTAAACTCTAGACTTGCTGTACCTGAATAATAATGATTCCGTAATATTAGTTTTGAGTTTTAGGAAGTCAATAATTTTTCATTTTACATTACATGCTCCGATTAAAAGGAAAAAAACGTCGTCTTTCATAAAGATTTGAGACTTTATCATTTTCTTTACCTATATAATAGTATGGCAATACTGACCTCAATGATAAGAAACCATTCCTTGTATACTTTTACAATTTTTAAAAAATTGGACCTTCCTAATTGTAGATTAGTGGGCTTGATATAAACTATTTTCGAAATTTTGTATTAAACTTATGTGTATACTTTTATATCAATGGAAGTTGCCAAGTCTACACTAAAAATTCATTAATATTGCAAATTAGAAGTTAATTTAAGTTCAGATTAGCTTTTTTCGCATCAGTTACAGAAAGAGACAAATAAGACTTATCAAGTCGTTCAAAAATGATCTATAGTACACTTAGAACAATAATGGACTGCATTGTATGATTCTTTAATAAATAAAAAGCCAAATAGTAATTTTTTAAATGGTTTTCATGTTTGAAAGTAAATTAATATTAGTCGATGTATACTTGCTGGGGCTTAAAACTAGTACTTTCGATCTACCAATTTAGATAAAGTGGTTTTATTTTTTTAACCATTATGACTGTGAATCTCTCTTACATTGAAAAATGACATTTAAAGATTCCAACGTCTACCTGCAAATATCAGATTCTGTTTAAAAACTGCAAAGCTTATACATAAACCAAGGTTGTATTCAGTCAAACGAGAAAGTCAGAATTGTCGGTTGTCTTGTGGCTAAAACTTGAATGAACAATTTTTTTTTGGTTTTTTACAATATCATGCAGATCTAAATACTTATGCTGCTTTTTAATACGAAACTTTATGTCAAGCATTTGATTTTTTTTTTTCTTGCAGGTAAGCCAACGGTCAAGTTTGACAAAACTTACCTTAAATCTTACTACAGTTTTAATAAAACTGCCAAGTTTGTTTGCCTTGTCGATCGTCATCCTAAGTCAAATATATCCTGGACAAAAATTAACTATTGGACGAAAACGTTGATACTTGACGGTACAATACATAACTTACAGGTTTGTTAGTTACAAATAGAAACAATTAGCTCATCTGTAATAGTAGGCTAGGTTCACATAAAACTTTAAACGTAACTAGAAATGTCATTTTATGACGTTAATTAATTTTTCCAGGGAATAGAAACAGATGTGCAAAATAGCAATTTCAAACAAAAGTCAACGGTAGAACTGAAACAGCTAGTAACATCTGGTGTTATAACATGCAAGGCTTGCAATAGCTATGGATGTACCTCTGCGTCAAAGGAAATTCGCATGACAGGTACATAGATCTAAATAATATCCATTGTTTAACTTGGATTTTTATCTATCTTTTACTTTTTTACGTGAGTTACTGTTGCATGGATAATTTTTTTTCTTTAGATGGGGTAGCTAATGCATCTTTTGGAATCATACAACCAAATAGAAGTTTTCAGAAAGGTGACAATATTTCTTTAATATGTGCTGCTGTAATTAATGATTTTTCCATCGTCGAGTGGTATGATAATAATGGTCAGGTGATAGTGGATTCCGGTTAGTTCTAAATTTATTTTTCAAGTGTTATGAGTCAAGTTTTTTCGCACAGTTTGACCAATTATACATGTTTCTTAATGTATATAGAAAGAAAACACGTTACATCGAAGGTAACTGAATTTACTTACCAAGCCATTCTCACAATCAATAACGCCAGTGAATCAGATAGAACGAAGTTTTATTGCAAAGGAACGGAAAGATACTACGGATATGTTGGATATCCTTCGCGCAAAATACTTACAGAGTCATACTTTCTTAACATCAATGGTAAGAATGAGAAACAGTTATGATGTACATTATCATTCATAAAACTCAACTTTTTTTACTTTGTTGATGGTAATTTTATTGTGTAGATCCACCTTCTTTTACCCTTGTAAATTTGAATGCTACAGAGAGAACAGTAATGGCAAGAGATTTTGAAAATCCCCTGACATTATTATGCCATGTTGGAGGGATTCCAACCCCTAACATTACGTGGTCGAAAAACAATGTACCTCTGAAGATGTCATCACAGTACACTTTCGAGGACAACTATCAAAAATTAACTATAAGATATTTTTTTGAAAAAGATTCTGGTAATTATTCATGCCATGCTCAGAACGATTACGGAACAGTGGAAAAATCCCAAATTATTGTCGTGAAAGGTAACAAATGTCATTGCCAACAGTAATTACGCACTCCTTTATTTCTTTTTTTATGTTTTGAAAACGTACTTTAACGAATAAAATTAGTCTGTACTATACAAAAGTACAAAATATTTTACATTTAATTATATTATCTAAAACTATGTAAGGCATTATTGAGTTCTTAAGAATGAAGAACTAAATATGGACCAAAATAAAAATTGTTCTAATTAGTAACAGAATAGTTTTTAATAACATAAATTTATATTATGCCAAGCAGTCAACCATCAATACATTTGACAATTCTTTAAAGTAGTAAAGCTCATGAGATCATGCTTTGTTTTATAACAGAAAAAGAGGTGGGTGTAATAAGCCTGCACCTATAGAAACATATATAATGCATTTTGTGTTCTTTTTCGTTCACACACGTAAAGAGATGAAGAGTCTATGGTTTAAAAAAAAAGTTGTTTATAATTTCTGCAGAAGCATCGATTATTTAATGCAAAAAATTTGTTAACTCATGCCTTACTTACTCTAGGTGCTTCACATTATGTATCCTAATATTCTATTGCTTTTCGTACCAGAAACTTTACAAAAAAGAAAAAAACATCTTCTCAAAGCACATGGTTTGAACTTGTTTTTCTAATTTATATAATTAAAGTCGGGTACTCCAGTAACAGTATCTATTTTTATGTGCGTGCATGTATTTGTTAGCATGTGTGTATGCGTTTTATTAGTAACATCCAAGGATTTCCGTATCTAACTTCAATAATGCGTTTTTGTTTGTTTTTGCTGGAAAAAATTCAATTTTAATATTTTTTACTATATATATATTTCATCAACAGTAGAATAATTCTTGAAAAATCCACAACCCTTAGTTTTCATCGTCGTTGCAGAATATTTTTACAATAGAAATTTCAGGTTCACCGTCAGAAATTTCAGGTTCAAACCGATAAGTTTTGACTAACTTAAATTATTTTTGTTCGCTTGTAGATCACTCTTATTAATTACTCTTATTTGAATAGCAACTACTCAGAAGTAAAATTTTGTGTTATTTTTTTTCGTCTTATTTTGATCTTGCCATTTTTCAAAAACCAATTGTTTTGTTTGATGATTTTTTACAATTGAAACTCTAATCAATAGAGATCAGAAAGCTTGCGATAAAGTCTTACACAAAAAAGAATTCATTCACTTAAATTTAAACAAGAATTCGGTTTTCCGGTGTGTGATGTATGTGTTGTTGTATGTAAGTGAATAATTCCACGTAAATAAGATCAGAATTTTCTTGCGTAAAATGTTATAAGATAGAAAATGAGAAAAACGGATGTACATTTGAGTGTATGTCAATAGTATCCATAGGATTCCATCAACTGGAGTTGTATATTAATAGCAACTATATTTTCGAAATTGGACTTTTTCACCCTACGACCGTAAGGTATTTAAAATTTCATGCATAAGTAAAACTTGCCATTCGCTACACTTACTTAATTAACTCTTATTAAGATCATGGAAATTATATAAATGTATGAGTTTTTGTTTCATCATATCAGTGATTTACTATGACGTATACTATATATACTATTGACTGTCTTGTGAGCCGAAGACGCGCTAACACAAACAAATTTTTTATTTCAAAGACAATTTTAAGACGATTTTATAGTCTTGTATATTGCAGGATGTAATATAAAAAAAAATTATCGTTAAAGAGGTCAAGCCATCGACAGGAAATTGCTGAAATAATCAATGCAAACGAAAACTGCTTGATGCACTTCATTTGAGTTATGTCAGGATAGCCTCATGGCAGTTTATTTTCTTTAGTAGCTTAAGGTTAATTTATAATAGTACTTATAGAACTTGTTAATGCATGAATTTTTTCTAGAAGATACAAGTTATTATTTTAAATATTGTGGTAAAAGATTAATTATCTAATTCTTTGTTTTTTGAACTATATAACTTTAGAATTTTAGATAAGAAAAAAAAAATATTTATTTTAACGTATAAAGCTGGATTCTGATTGTGTTATGATAATTTATCTTGAAAAAATTTGAGTATGAAGGATTTGAGTGCATGGAATAAATTTAATCTTAAAAGCAGGAAAAAGTTATTTGATAAAAGCAATCAATTTTCGTTGTAGGAAATCCAAATACAAATTTTTATACTGGAATAGTAGTATGGTTTATCGCAATCCTTACTTTTCTATCAATTTACTTTTACTTACAAGTGCAACATGGAAAGGTAATTAAAAAAATATGATTATTATCAACACACGTCCATATCTAATTTTTATACTGTAATAGTAGTGTGGTTCATCGCAATCCTTACTTTTCTATCAATTTACTTCTACTTACAAGTACAGCATGGAAAGGTAAATACAAAAATTTGATTATTATCAACACACGAACATATCAAATCAAAAAAATTAATTAAATAGATAAATTACATTTCAAGTAAATAATCTTTTCCAGTTTAGAGAAAAACTCTTATTAGAATCTAGTCTTACCCAGTTTACGGNCTTTTATTAGAATCTAGTCTTACCCCGTTTACGGAAGGAGAACTTGATTTGATGAATCCAGAACTTACAGTAGATGAGCAGGCAGAACTCCTTCCGTACGATATAAGGTGGGAGTTTCCCAGAGAAAAAATAAAATTAGGTAAGAGATTATAAATATGTTTTTGAAGAGTATAAGATTAATTTGATTAACATTAACGTTAAATATATTTCTCTTTCATCACATAAAGATGAAAAATTAGGAAGTGGAGCTTTTGGAGTTGTGTATAAAGCCATGGCTTATGAGTTACTTGCTAGAAAGTCTATCACGCTTGTAGCTGTAAAAACAGTTCGCAAAAATGCAGATCCAATGTATATTACTGCATTGGCGAAGGAACTTAAAATTATGATTTATCTGGGACAACACTTGAATATTACAAGTCTTTTGGGAGCTTGTACAAAAAATATAGCCAAACGTAAGCATTCGCGTATTACTATATGAGCAATCATATATAAAAGAAAGTGTATTTATTAGACAAAATTATTTCACATTTCAGGTGAACTTTTGGTGATTGTTGAGCTTTGCAAATTTGGAAATCTGCAAAATTATCTTTTGGATCATCGACAAACTTTTATTAATCAAATTAAATCAGATAAAGGTAAAATCGGTCCTTGTATGAGAAAAACATCAAATAGGTAATAGTTTTACTGATTGTACTTTTTTAAATTCTCAAGCAATTATACGTTAAGTAGACTAAGTACAAAGGAAATACTTGTATTTTTCTATCGATACGTTTATTTAAACTTATTTTTTTAATATAAAATACAAGAAGCATTGATTTTTATTATAGTTTAGAAGAAAAATTAAAGATATAATTGATGAAGATGAATTTTATGAAAATAAGCAAGAGTTTTTGTGTTATTACTTAGCATCTCTTCCAAAATCTTAGAGTAAGAAAACTAAATAAATATAATCACGTGTCAGAGCAAGCTATGGAGGGCAAGCCTGAGTTTGATCAGTATCGTTTGCATGTAGAGAAGAATAGAGCGAAGAACTTAAAAAAGTATTCATCCATAGCGTTATCATTATACTTTATGTCTTTAAATTATGAGTCATAAGGCATCTCTACTAATATTAAATTTCGTATACAACGATTTAAATAAATTATATAATTAAATTTAAAAAAATGTCATTAAGTAGTATACTGGTATCAAGTAGCAATGGAGTTGAAATTCAAAAACGTCGTCTTCAGTGCGACAATCATTTTGGGTTCAAGAAAACTGTTTTTCATCTTAAGATTGTTATTTCTTTAAATGTACGACTTGACTCGTAATCACAATTCCAGATGTACTACTTGAAAGAGTTAAAAATGTTGATGATAGCGTAGTTTGTAAAACAGAATAATAGTAGTATTATTGGTTTTGAGGACATACATGCGTTTGTTAATACTTATCTTGAATACTTTTTTGAGTATTTTGAGTCCAAATACTGATTTTGGTCTAAGTTTGAATTGATATTACCGTTTGTTAATTCAGATTTATATCGGTAAAGCACTTAGTAATTTTGCTACAGAGTTTGTACAGAAAGAATTAAGTTTTCACATCTACAAAAAAAAATACTTCTACTAAATCAAAAAAAATCAAAATTTTCTTGTATTCTTACAAATTGTGACTCTCATAGACATATCACATAAATATAATTTTTTCAACAATAGGACAAAATACAAGATATTTAATGATTTCAGTGAGGTTTTGAACAGAAGTTATAGTTCAAGCAATGAGACCAGCATTTACGGCACAGAGGATCAGACATTTGTTGGCCCTATTGAATTTAGTGATGATTTTAACGACGATGATTCCCAGCCAGGTTGGCGTTCTAATTACAAAGGGGACTACGCGAATGAAGATGTTGCTTTTCTCTGCACTGAGGATCTTCTTTTATGGGCTTATCAAGTAGCAAATGGTATGGAGTATCTTTCCCAAAGAAAGGCAAGCACCTACCTGTGTACAATTTTCCATGTTACTGGATTCTAACGTATTAAGTAACTTTAGGTGTTTGCTACTCGTTTTATTTTTAGGTGCTACATTGTGACTTAGCCGCGAGAAATATATTATTGGCAGAAAATAACATTATTAAGATATGCGATTTTGGTCTGGCAAAGACATTGTACAAAGACGAAAAGTACAAAAAGCAATGCGTTGGCAAATTGCCTGTAAAGTGGATGGCCATTGAGTCCATTAGGGATGGAGTCTTTTCCACTATGTCAGATGTGTGGTCATTTGGTGTAGTTCTATGGGAACTTTTCACCCTTGCAGACATACCTTATTCAGATACAGAGTTCGAGGAGATGTATCAGAAATTAGTCAGAGGATACAGAATGGCTCAGCCTACTTATGCCACTGATGATATGTAAATAAATGTTTTTGTGAAAAGTCCATTTCTATGAAACTGTCGTTCTGCATTTCTTATCTTTTTTTAGTTACAATATTATGCTCGATTGCTGGGAGGAAGAGCCGACATTAAGGCCGTCTTTTACAATGCTGGTTGAAAGTATCAAAAATCTTTTACAAGATGATATCAAAATACATTTTCTAAAACTCTATCATACGTATGAAAATTGGAATAGGGAACGACAGTTAGAAAAAAAAGAAGAAAACCTAACTTCATTATCATCAGACGATATAATAATTCGACCAAGCCAGCATAACTACGTAAACACTTTACCCGAAATCGCAAGTCCTTGTATAAACGTGTTTGATGGTATTACTGTAACTAATATTAAAAAATTTGACCACTTAATGACTTGAACTTTAAAAGCAAATAGCAAGTATGTTTATCCANTAGGCTTCTGATCGATCAAGGTTCAGAATTATCATATATTTCGGAAGATGCTGTGGCATTATAATTATTATTATTATTATTATTATTATCTTTACTATTATCATTATTATCACCATAATAATCATTACTTTTATCATTATCGTATATCAACTTTATTATCATTATTATTAGCTTCATCATTATATTAATCATGATCATTATTATCATCATCATCATCATTATTATTATTATTATTATTATTATTATTATTATCTTCTTTCCATCAGCACTGCGTTATAAATTAAGGCGCTTCTTCCTCGAGAGGTATACCATCTAGCGTTAATTGTATATGCGTTACCATGTCGGTAACTAAGTTAGCAAATCATTGGGAGAGCAAAGTTGGCAATCATGTACTTATTTCGCGAAATGAGAGTATAACTTCGTCTGTCTATATAATAGTTCGTCAGCTGATTGTACACGACGTAATTTTCCGCAATCTTTATTCTTTGATGTAGATAAATAATTAGAAATGGATTATTGGTCCAAAAATCAGTTGCGTGTAAACGGAGGAAAGTTTGTTTATAAAAATAATTTATTAAATCAATCATTAATAAATTATGTAAGATCATTATATAAATACATTTCGAGTTTCATATCATTTTCATGGTTTTTAAGAGCACTTATTTTTAATTTGGTAAACAAATAATAACACAATGTCATACCAA